AAAGGGACCGTGAAAGGGGACACTAAAATAGAATGTTTTTCTTCCGACAGTTTTGTTGCATACGTGCACATTTCACGAGATACGAAACGTCAATTGACGAAACTATGACTATAAACCTTAAACTGGCAGCACGGCCAGCTGCATAAAAACGCATTGAATACATAGAGCTGGGCTCAGTTTACTCTGGAAGTACAACAAAAACGGAGACTTTTTATTTCGGTTCCGCAGTCCGCCTAACTTGCCCTTTGCATTAATACATAAAAGTGGCGACGATAGCAAAAAAAAAATAACATTCGCGTGCAATAGTGGGGTCACGAAAGTGAAAGTGAAGTTTAGGGGGAAAAAAAGCTTTGTTGTGCGAGGTGTGTGTGCAACAGCAGTTAGCTGTCATACGGCAGTGCACTATCAACGACGGCGACAGTGCCCACCTACACCAGGATTATTCCTCCGTTTGGGTTACTGCGCTCACGGTAAAACTTGCCGGTAACTTTCCGGATATCGACGGCAGGGTGGAAAACCGTCCAGCGAAAAGTGCTCCGGGCGGCAGCCAATTAGTTTATCCCTAGTGTTCATATCACAGAGTGTGATTATACGGAGGGCAAGTTACGGAGGCCGCTAAATTAATCAAGGAGGAAGCAACGGCTTTTAGTGGTGGAAAAGCTCCACTTGTGCGCAGCAGGAAGTTCTGCAAAACCCGTTCCGTTGGTGGCATACTCGGAACGTGGAGGTCAGCTGAAGGTTAGCGGGGACATTTAGGATTCGTTCGGTACAAATTGGAAGCGTAAGCGCGATGGCACACCGTTATTAGCTTAGGCCGTACCGGGAGGTTGTCTGGGACTTCCCGAACTTGGTAGTGACGGTGAATACACCACGAACGGACACGAACTGTGAACCCGACAGTACTACGATAGAGGAAGCTAGTAATAGAAGAGCAGGAGACGACAGATCCGACGAGGTTAGGGCCCCAAAGCGGGGAAGACAAAGGAAGCAGCTGGGAACAATGGAGGAAGAACCAAGAAGGTCAAAGAGGGCTAGAAAAGAAAAAAAGCTCGAAGATTATTACTACGACTGAGGAATTGTATAAATTGAATCTTGAAATGTTTGACAATGGTCAATTTTTTAATATAGAATTTGTTAACTTTCGAAAGGGGAAGAATTGTTGTATACGTGCACATTTCACGAGATACGAAACGTCAATTGACGAAACTATGATTATAAACCTTAAACTGGCAGCACGGCCAGCTGCATAAAAACACATTGAATACATAGAGCTGGGCTCAGTTTACTCTGGAAGTACAACAAAAACGGTGACTTTTTATTTCGGTTCCGCAGTCCGCCTAACTTAGGGGCCTCCCTTAGCTCAGTCGGTAAAGGCGCAGCTACAAAGCAAGACCATGCTGGAGGTGGCTGGGTTCGATTCCCGGTCCGGTCTAGGAATTTTTCGGTTTGGAAAATTTCTCGACTTCCCTGCGCATAGAGTATGATTGTATTTGCCACACAATTATACTAATGCAAAAATGGTACAGGCATCGAAAGCTCTCAATTAATAACTGTGGAAGTGCATCTAGAACACTAAGTTGAGAGCACGCAATAAGCTAATATGCGATATGCAATAAGCTTGAAATGCGAAGAAGAAGAAGAAGGCCGCCTAACTTGCCCTTTGCTTCGTTTGGACGTACATTAAAAGTTTCATCTTTGAGTTAACTCTATAGTATGAGTTCGCATCCAAATAAACTCAAATTTTAGGAGAATGAGATCAGGACCTGATTTAGAACTATCGGTAAGAACCATGATAAGATAATAACTATCAATTGGCATCTATTTTTATATCAGGTGATAAAACTACGGACTTTGATCATGAAAAATGTGAAAACAACATCAAGTCAGTTTGTCCCATCAAGCAAAGTATTCGCATATACATCCTGAAATTCAACCGTGCAGAAGTCAAATTCCAGTTTTGTTTTTTTTATCGCCATATTTTTCGCTGATATAACAAGTCATGCAGGCTTCATTGCAACTGAATGTAGCATGAAAAAATATCAAGTAAATTACTATGATTTTTCAAATAGTTACATGGGAATTGCACGTCGTCACTTCAACTGCCATTTTCTCAATGCCTACTTTTTCCATATGTGACTTATATGGGATTATAGGCAGTGTACATGTTCCCCACTTTAACGAAGTTTTCCAAAATAAGTTCGCAGCCCGCCTAGGTTAGGTTAGGTTACTTAATTAAAGATATTTTCAGCCATTGGTTGATTCGTCTCTAGGGATGGGAGGGGTCCCCCTAAAGGGTGTCCACGATGAAATTGCCACACTATGAAATTGCTCTAACTTTTTAACCGTTGGGTAGAATTCAATGAAAATTTGGGTGGATTTAGTTCATAGTGCATTATTTACATCCTGCAAGTTTTAAAGTCCTGTGATCAAAACTCGCGGAAATGGAGTCGAAAGAACAGCTCGTGCGTGATAAAATCTTGCGCATTCATCACGAGAACAAGGATCTCTCGCATCGTTCCATCGCTAAAGCGTTGGGAATCGCGAATTCCACGGTGTCGCGAGTGATTAAGCGGTTCGAGGAACGGTTTACCACCGATCGGAAGCCCAGAAGTGAAGGAAAAAGTATTCCGTACAACACCAAAAATCACAACCGCGTAGTTGGGGCCTTCAACCGAAATCCGAACGCCTCCGTTAGGGATGTGGCTAAGAAGCTGCACCTAAGCCGAAGTTTTGTCCAGAAGGCCAAAACTAAGGCTGGGCTTCGAACGTTCAAGGTACAAAAGGCCCCTAATCGCGACGAGAAGCAGAACAAGTCCGCCAAAACCCGTGCCAGGAAGTTGTACCTCAACATGCTGACGAAAGTTGAATGCTGCATCATGGACGACGAAACATATGTGAAGGCCGACTTCAAACAGATCCCCGGCAACCTGTTTTTCACGGCCAAGGATAAGTTCAGCGTTCCGGAGCATGTCCGCACTCAGAAGATGTCCAAATTTGCGAAGAAATTCCTGGTTTGGCAAGCCATCTGCACGTGCGGGAAGCGGAGTGCACCTTTCGTGACCCAGGACACGATGAACCGACAGGTGTACATAAAAGAGTGCCTCCAGAAGCGGCTGCTTCCTCTCCTGAAGGCCCACAACGTCCCAACAATCTTCTGGCCGGATTTGGCCTCATGCCACAACTCCAATGACGTGCTGAAGTGGTATGCGGACAATAAGGTCAATTTCGTGCCGAAAATGTTCAACCCTCCCAACACTCCGGAGCTCCGCCCCATCGAGAAGTACTGGGCGATTATGAAGCAGCACCTTCTTAAACGACCTAAGGTAGTGAAGACAGTCGAGGAACTGAAGAAAGTATGGGTTTACATGCAAAAAACGGTTGATTCACAGGTTGTGCAGAATCTTATGGCCGGGGTTAAGGCCAAGGTGCGGGCATTTGCGTATGGACTGTAAATAAAATACGAGTAAAATGGTAAAATGAAGTTTAATAGTTATTTCTCAATCCCTGAAAATTTGATGGCAATCGGATGAAAACTCGAATTTTGCGAATCAATTTTGTGTGTGGCAATTTCATCGTGGACACCCTTTAATACAGAGTTTTTTTTTAAACAGAGTGTTGTACGCTGTCTAGTTTGCTGTCAGGAAGGGTCAATGGTTCTTTGCGGGTGGGTTCTGGTTGTGGCGTAGGTCTGTTTTGTGTGCATGGGTCTTGGTTGTATCATTGGTCAGTTGAGGGTCCGTGGTGAAGAGGAGGGTGCCACCGGTAGCAGGCTTCAATGAGGGGTCCGCTGTAGGCAGCGAGCACCGAATTGGCAGTTGTCAAACTAGGTGGAAGAGTTCCTAGTAGAGCAGCGATCCGGCTTGCGTCATTGATAAGCGCGTCTTTTACACTGCTTGGAATCCCGTAAAGCTCTCTTGCTCTCTGGGGGCAGTGACATGCTCAACAGAGTGATGAATGTAGCTTAGAGAGCAGGTCTAGTGGAAATCACCGCTAACTAAGGTTCGACTAAGGTTGTTGGAAAGGCGAGTGTGGCCTGATCTTAGGCGGAAGAGGACAATTTATGAGCGATGGTCTGCTGTATCATCCCATTTGCCCATGCTTGCTTTGACTTTCCTGATGAAGAGGTCGCGGGAGTTAATCCAGTCCCTATTCCAGGCTTCCCAAGTGATGCTTTTAGAGGTCTGGGTCAGGAACTTTACGCGTGTGTAGGTACATATCATCATAGGATCAGCTTCCAAATTACCCTGGATTTCGCAGTGGCCGGGTATCCAGCCGACAATGGTGCCAGGTGGGGCACTCGAGAAGATGACCTGTATCCATGGATGAGTGGGGTGTTCGGCCTCAATCGCGGCTACAACTTTGGCTCAGTCGGTGAAAAGGACGATTGATTTGCTTGACCGGAGGGAGTGGAGATGGCAAAGAAAGCGGCGGTGGCCTCAGCCGAGAACACGCTGCACTCGTCTAGGTGGCGGTAACAAACCCTAGCTTCGAGGTGCACTCCGCCTAATTTATATAAGATTCTAAACTAGATTCTGAAAATTTATTAGTTTTATTGAACTTCTACAACATTCCCTAAACTTTTAAAAAGCTTCCCAACAATCTACGAAGTTCCCTGAAATCAATCTCTTAAAGTATAGCTTCATTGATTTTTAAGAAGGTTCCTGAATTTCTGTAAAAAACTTAGTTTGAAAGATCTGGAAGAGTACATCTTTCGCCACCCGTAATTTTTAAATGTAGAAGAGAAGACATTTGTAGTATAAAGGTTCCCCCTAATTGTATATCTCGGAGTAACTGTATATAAAGCATATTTGGCGACGAAATGACGGCGGGGAAACGTGTTTCGGCGAACTTACCCATTTGGCGACATTTTTGGTGATGAAATAACCTAGCCTAACGACCCGCTTGCGTTGAAAAGTTATTTGAATAGTAGTTCACAACTCATCAATGAAATTTGGTATAACTCATCGTTTAAAACACTTCATATGTTGTCCTTCTTCCAGGTCATTCCTATTCTTCAAACCCTTTACAACGCTCCAGACAGTACCTCGCATCATATTTACATGTCCCTGATTGTGCTTCTTATTCTGAGCGAGGACGATAACTTCAACAAAAGCGTTCATCAAATTGTAAGTAAATCTCTTGTCTTACGAACCCTCAGCTCCGTTTCACAGGGACCTTTTTTTTCCCCCGAAATTCAAGATCCTAAAAAATATCACATGGTACACGGAGCGATCGGTCAGCGAGATATCGCTCGGTGGCTTGCTGATTCTGGTAGTCATCCGAACCATCCAGTACAACATGCTGAAAATGCGTGACAAATATCTGCACACCAACTGTCTGGCGGCACTGGCCAACATGTCCGGCCAGTTCCGATCCCTGCACCCGTACGTGGCCCAACGGTTAGTTAGTCTGTTCGAAACCCTAGCCAAGAAGCATGCCCGCCTCGATCAGCAGCTAAAGCAGTCCGTCAATGGAGACGTCGCAGCGGCGGCGGCGGCGACCGAGGTGGCCGTTTCCATCGCGGCACCCAGCTCGGATGATATGGTAAGTTAAGAAGCTTTATTTTGACGAAAAGTGCTGGAATATGACTGACATTTTGCAGTTACAGGATCTGTCAGTGCTGGAGGAAGTGCTGAGGATGGTGCTGGAAATTCTCAACTCCTGTCTGTCGCACCAGCTGGTCTACTGTCCGAACTTGGTGTACACCCTGCTGTACAAGCGCAGCGTCTTTGAGGCCTTCCGGAGTCATTCGGCTTTTCAGGATATCATTCAGAATATAGATATGGTATGACGAGATTTTGGTTGAATGTTTTTTCATCTAAATCGTAATCCGATTTCGCTTTCGACAGGTTGTAGGATTTTTCTCGTCGAGGTTGGTTCGAGTTCAGGATCAACGGGGCGAGCTTGGCGTTAACGAAGTTCTAGAAGTGATATCTAAAGGAGCCAGTCAGTGGTCCAGCGATCGGTTAAGGGTACGTGGCAGTTGCCATACGAAAATTCCGTGAATCGAAATTTAATGATTTATTACCCACAGAAATTCCCGGACCTTAAATTCAAATACGTCGAAGAGGATGCCCCGGAAGAATTCTTCATCCCCTACGTGTGGACGCTGGTATGCAAGGCGGGCTGTGTTCATTTTAGTTCCGAATCAATCAAAGGCGTAACGACGGACATCAACTGTTAACCGGAGTGTACTCAGTAGGGTTTCTTCAAACGAAAAAAAAAAAAACTAAGAAAACTTCAGATGGAATCTAGCTTCCATAGCTTTTACTACCTACTACAATATTAAAATTGCTCTACTTTGGCCCGGGTGGTTCCCCGGGCAAGAAGATTGCAGACCTATGTAGAATGCATACTAATACAATAAAACGAAGGTGAACGGCACCTGTCAGGAGAATATGCAATCACGGTGTGAGCGCTCGCGTGAATGAAGATCAAAAGTTGAAATAAGAAAATTGTGTGCAAACTTGGTAGGTTCTAGGTTAGAAATCGTTGCATTCCCTGAATGACAATAGAATTCGGTTGAGCAAGTTATTTTCTTCTACGAGGTTGTTGTTTTTTTTCTGTATTTACGAGAGCTCAAAATTGTCACATGTTTATGTACATAGAACTGTTTCGGTGTAGTAGCATCCTTTTTTTTCTATTTTATTACAAACAAATGACAGGAATATCTTTGTTCAAAACAAATCTGAGTGATTAGATTCGACTCGAAATAATTGCAATCTAAACTGAAGGGAAGAACAAACTTTTAAACACGACACGCATCTATAACCGTGTAGTAGGTGTAGCAGCGCAAGCAGGCTTAATGATTTAGATGAGACTAATATATAAATAAATTATAATCTTCGAAAGAAACAAAACAGTTTTCAGTATGACAGTAACGTTGATCGTAGATTTGTAAAAAAAAGTTCCACAATTGAGTTAGTCAGACAAACAATAGCAAAGCAAAACGGCAAATAATATACGAGAATTTACTTATTTCAAACTAGGCGTTTCTTTTCTGCAACTATTTAGTGGTACGTGATAACACAGCAGTTTATTTCGTCGAAAATAAAAATATTTATTAAATAAATACCTTAAACAATCCTTACAAATCCTAAAAAAAACACAAAGAATCGAACAAATTAAAGCCTAACAAAATTATCACTTGGTGGGGATTTTTAGCTGGTTTATGAACGTCCGTCACAAGGATCAAACAAAGTCTTCAGGTGTGTACCTATAGGTATGAATGTGTATGTGCGAAAGCTGCTGACGATTGGAGGCAGCTCTGCGATCCACTCCTTCATTCGCCGGATTTGTACCAGATGGTTTGTGAAATTGTTGGTGGTGCGATTTGCGACAAAGACGATGATCACACTCCGTTGCACGTATCCATGCACTTTTCGTACGTGAGGAAGTTGTTGGCATTGCCATCGCAGCCACCGAAGGTGAACTCGTGGCAGGTCTTCGATTCGGGATCGTATCTGGAAGAGGGATAGAAAAAGGCAGAGGACGTTAGAAAAGGTGTTCAATCCTAGATGAGTCAAAGAGCACAGTTGGAGGCAAACCAGCCTCAGGCTGAAAGCCTCCTTAATAAAGATAGATCAATCAATCAAAGAGCACTAATTTATGTAAACATTTCCCTACAGATTTGAAAACAGTGGATTTAAATGTATTCGTAGTACCCTTTGTATACCTTCGACAGACATGATTGTAGTGCCGTTTTACTCCTTTAATCCATTACCACAATCGACGAACTAGATTAAAGTAGTACATCGGTCTGTCATAGGTATTTGCTGTTGATTATTAGTTTGAACTAGCCAAGTTTCAATGGAAATCATGCAATTGATCACATGGCATAAAAAGCGCTCCAAATATGTTAAATTTATTACTAGCCGTACATCAGACAGAAGGCTGAAGCAAGGCAGATTGGACTTGCCATCAACGCATCGAATACGAAATACATGAGAGGAATAGGTTCTCGGGAAGACAAAGTTAGCCTCCCACCCCGAGTTCAGATTGATGGTGACGAAATCGAGGTGGTCGACGAGTTCGTATATTTGGGCTCACTGGTGACCGCTGAAAGTGATATCAGCAGAGAAATTCAAAGACGCATTATGGCAAAGAATCGTGCCTACTCTGGATTCCGGAGGACGCTCCGGTCGAATAAAATTCGCCGCCGCATGTAGTTGACTATAAACAAGACGCTGATAAGACCGGTGGTCCTCTAAGGCCACGAGACCTGGACTATGCTCGTGGAGGACCAACACTAACTAACTAACTAACCAACTAGCTTGGTGTTTTCGAACGGAATGTGTTGCGTACCATCTATGGTGGAGTGTAGATGGATGACGGAAGGGACCGAATGAACAACGATTTGCACCAGCTTCTGGGAGAACCATCTATCGTCCACACTGCAAAAATTGGTCGTAAGAATGCCGGACGACGACCTAGTGAAAATGGTTCTCGAAAGTGACCCAACAGGGACAAGAAGAAGAGGACCCAACAGTGGCCAAGGCGGATCGACCAAGTAGAAGGTGACCTGCGGACCCTTCGCAGACTACGAGGCTGGTGACATGTGGCCATGAATCGAGTAGAGTCGAGACGACTTCTTCGGACAGCTGAGGACATCAAGGCCTTGCTTGGTAAGGTAAATAATTTGCATAATTTTGTCATATTTTTTTACGATCTTTCGAAACCGCAATGCCCAAAACCATAAGTCGGCCTGCAGAGGGATAACATCGTGTTTTGTTTTCTCACTATAAAAAATCCAGCCTTGAAATTTTTTTTTAAGCTGCAAAGTTTCTGATGTCTTTACTGCTGGCTGATCAAATATTCATCATTTAGCGGTATAGTTTAGGGCTTAATTGGGTGGGTCTATATCGTATGTCTATTTATATGTCTGATCAATCAGTAAAAAATCTCGATTTTTCAAAATCCGTTTTAGCAAGTAAAGGTAATCAACTTCGATTATAATGGATAACTCATTTCTGACAAAAAACCATATGGGACTGTTATGCTTTTATGGTCAGTGCAGCAGTTGTTTTCTCGTTATGAATCACGCGTTCATATAGCCGATAGGTCCCGGGTGCTTTGTTCATTGCCAGCAGCTCGATCGGTGAATCAAATAAAATTTAATGATGTCTGGAATTGAGGTCATGAACATCGTTTGTTTTGAATTCGCCCATTCGATACTAGTGCCAGACCGACCTCAGCCGATATCACTAATTTCGTCAGGACACTGGATTCGAATGTTGCTGAGATGGAAGTATTTTATCGGATTTCTGAGCAGAACGCGCTTTTCCAGTCGGAGGAGTATGTTGTGCTTTATGCACTAAGAGAACTTAACTTAAGTCAAAAGAAATTCAGAGAAGTGGAGAGAGTTTTGCAAAATCTGTGGAAACTTTTAAGAAGTTCAAAGTACCTACCCCCAACTAACAATTTTCACAATGTAAACGCTTTACTCATTTCATTTAAAGACTGGAACGCGCAAAAATTGGTCGACAAAAAAATCGTTTCTTTGAGTCAAAATTCATATCACAACAATCTTCTTATTTTTCTTTTGGTAGTTCAATTGGGTTATTTAATTTAGAAAAATATATCGGTTTTTATATATTATCTGAAAGAGCTTCGTTTTCTGAGCACAGCGATATTTTTTTTCGAATCCACACACTTTCATCTCGATTTTTAAATCAAGATTTAAAGCCAAATAATAACTTCACTGCTTGACAATAAACTGACAAACTGACAGCTAGCTCCCATACAAAGTGACACCGAGGGGTGCTGATAAGGTGATTTTTGCATATGTAATCGTACTTATTTAAATAGTTCCAGTGTACCAAAATTGATAAAATTTTGTTGGGTTCCATTTTTAATGCAGATTACGAATATACATTTACCTCAATACCCTTAAAGAACCCAATTGGGTTGTTTAACTTCGGAAAATACACAGATTTTTATACATCATCTGATAGAGCTTCGTTTTCTGAGCACAACGATATCTTTATCGATCCCGTAGACATTCATCTCGATTTTTAAAAATTTTTGATCGTTGACACTAAATCTATTCGTTGACAGCAGGCTCCCATACAAAGTCCCACTAAGGGGCGCTAAGGTGGTGATTTTTGCTAATGTAATCGTACTTATTTAAAATAGTTCCAGTGTACCAAAATTGATGAAATTTTAGATATCGGTTACATTATTAATGCAGATAACGAATATTTAATTATCTCAATACCCCTAAACAACCCAAGTCATATATTTAAAGAAAAAAGTAGAAGAGTCTGTGCCTAGGGGCACGAACGGAAGCTTGACGTAGGACCGCTAGTAGACGGAATAAATGTGAAGAGCATTTAGTTAAGTTCGGTTAGTTAATTGATCAATTATCTATTATCTCAACTCTTTCCGTTTTTGAATTGTAGGCGTACCAAATTTTGTAGTATTTTTTTTCAAAGAGAAGTTTGATTAAGATAATCAATCAAAGTCACTTGCACCCCTGCTTCCAAGTTTGGTTACAAGATTACAACTCTGGAGAGCATTTTGTGTGGTCGTTGGGGGCTTGTGGTTCTGAATATGGACAAACAAGAACAGATAAATTCTATTCCAACTCTTTACTGATGTAAGCCTGATGGCCCTGAAAAGGGCCGTTTTATTGAAGAGGACATCTATGGCCACTTACGCTTGGCATGTTTAGTGTAGGTGACAGCATCACGGACCTCATTTTCCATGAACACCTTCAGCACACCTCGTAGATCAGACCGGAGATACGTTTGACACCACCACGGCGAGCCAGACGACCGATGGCGGTTATCTCGAAGAACTTTGCGATGACGCTTGGCGCCTCCTTTACCAGACCTTTTCCTCCTTTGCCACGATCAGTCAATTGTTGCTTGTTAGGTGTGAAGGAGTGGACTAGCCACCACCTTCCTACTGCTGCTATTGCTATTCACTACGCCGTTCGAAGCGAAAATGAGCTAATGCCATACAGCAGCGCTCTTTTATATCTTAGGTTAGGTTAAAACAGAATGATGTGCAACCAAGTGGTAACAAAGGTTCAAAGACTCCTCCCATTATGAGTAGTTTGCTATCAAGTAGCGACACTGGCTCTTTTCCTTTTGCGTACACGGCGAATGAGAACGACCCAAATTTGAGTTTAGTTCACTCATAATCGCCAAAAGTACAGGAACTCAGCGATGAGTAAATTTGTCTCATGGTTGCCTGTGGAAAACCTAAAAAATCTGCCAGAAAATGAGGAAATTAACGAAAATTTTATTCAGTCTCGGGGTAGTACCAATAGACTGAGTGAATCCAATATTTACTCTTCTCAAATTCGGGAATTTTCCCCTGGAAAATCCTGGGAAAACATGAGGCAAATTTTTCCCATAGTGGAAGCTTGCCAAGTCCGGCCAAAACAGCACAGGTCTATTATGTTGCTTTAGGAATGATAGCAGCCGCTTTTCCAGGCACTCCTGGACGTAGATCTCCTGATTGATGGTTCCCGTAGTAATGAAAATGCCGTTTTTTAGACCACACGTGCATATGGCGTGCCAGACGAGATATTTTTCAGGAACATCGATAGTTTGATGGTTTTGAAAATTTCAGCCATCTTCCTTTTTCCTGATGCGGTATAAAACCACAAACGAAGTGACAGACGGAGCGGCTCGAAAACTTTGGTGACGCACTTGCTATTGCAATTTTTCAGTGTACCACATGGCAACACCACTACTACTGGATTGTACCACATGGCAACACTACTAATGCATTGTACCACATGGCAACACTAAATGTACTAGAATGTTTTGGATCTATCTCTTTCACTCTACTCTAAACTGAATGCATAAAAAAAAAATGACAAAATGATACACTCCTTGCACACTGTCAAAGATCATATTGCACACAAAATCAACTATGTTCAAATCAAAACAAAAATACTAGCCCATCTGGTGGCTGATGGAACAGGCTTCTAAGAAAATTCTATTACAGCGAACCACATTATTTTAATTGATTTCTTCGCCAGTTAGTCGTCTGTCACTTCGTTTGTGATAAAACTCCTGTCCCGGAAGCTGCTTGAAATCCACCTTCACATAAGTTTCGTCGTCCATGATGACACAGTCGAACTTTGTAAGCAGATTCGTATACAGCTTTCGGGACCGCTGCTTTGCCGCGTGATTTGGTTGTAATCTTGGTTCGCCACCTTCACCTTCTTAAACGTCGACAACTCGGCTCGTTTCTTGGCCCGCTGCACAGTAGTATGGGAGACATTGAGCTTGCCAGTTACGTCCCGGACGGAGAGGTTAGGATTCCGCTTATATTTCACCGCCACCTTCTTCGTCGTCGCTGCCACGTCCGGATTACGACTGCCGCCGCTTCCAGGCTTCCTGGCGGTCGACAGACGCTCCCCGAACACTTTTAAAACGTTTGTCACGGTATATTTGGCCACATCCTGCAATTTTGCCTACTTGGCGTGTGAGAACGTCGGATTCTC